TAAGAGGTTATGAGAGTTCATCTTAGCTTGCTTTTAATTTCATATAGTTTAATAAAGTAATGAAATCAAATAAAATAAAGTTAATCTGGTGTTCCTATACAAGATCAGGGGTGAAGGTGGATGGGAAGAGGGAAAAAGGAGTTCTGCCTTGGCTCTACATAGGATGTTGTTGTTGCTTATTTGTTCAGTCACTTCCGACTCTTCGTGACCTCATGGACCAGCCCACGCCAGAGCTCCCTGTTGGCCATCACCACCCCCAGCTCCTTCAAGGCCAAGCCAGTCACTTCAAGGATACCATCCATCCATCTTGCCCTTGGTTGGCCCCTCTTCCCTTTTCCTTCCATTTTCCCCAGCATCATTGTCTTCTCTAAGCTTTCCTGTCTTCTCATCTATATAGGATAGGAGAGGTTATTCCCTTCATTTGTTTTAATTCATGACTCTGCACTCATGCGCACATTCCCAGAGGAGAGATTAAAAAAGAAAATAAGAAAATACATATTGTATCCTAGTAGAGAGTCTTGTAATGGGGCACAGGATACATAGAATTCATTGGTGAATTAGGTTATTTGATGTGCCAAAGGGAGGAGGGGACCATGAAGTGATCCTTCAGTGGAACGCCAAATGTCTGCTGATGCGGAGCGGCTTAGGCTGTTCAGTGGAGCTGAATGGCCCACACCTGGAAATGTGTGTGTATGTGTGCAGTTGGGGTTTGGGGTATTAAAGATCCGCTTCTGATATAGAGCTTGGGGGATGGAGGGAGGTCAATGCAATTTATCCTGGCCTCAGTTCCTTGGGAAATTTTTAACTTTCTTGTGGGGTTAAATTATGTTCCTCTTTCATTCAGGGTGAGGGTAGCCATGTTCTATAACACCAGCAAAATACCCAAAAGGCACCAGATCTGGCCTCATCTGGGAAGCTAAGAAGGGCTAGCCCTGGTTAGTTCTTGGATGGGAGACCACCAACCAAATCCCAGGTGCTGCAAGCTGTTTCAGATGAGGAATCTGGCCAAACCACCTTTGAGTATTGTTCCTAAGAAAAAATTTGAAGTTAATTTCATATGTTGCTAGGAACTTGAAGGGTTGCCTAAATCCCCTAAAGGCATCAGATCCCATGGAGCCCTTGGTGGCACAATGGGTTAAATCCTTGTGTCGGAAGAACTGAAGACTGACAGGTCACAGGTTCGAATCCAGGGAGAGCGTGGATGAGCTCCCTCTATCAGCTCCAGCTCCCCATTGTAGGGACATGAGAGAAGCCTCCCACAAGGATGATAAAACATCAAAACATTTGGGCGTCCCCTGGGCAACGTCCTTTCAGATGGCCAATTCTCTCATACCAGAAGTGACTTGCAGTTTCTCAAGTCACTATTGACACGAAAAAAATCAGATCCCATCTAATCTGTGAAGCTAAGTAGGGGCTGCCCTGGTTTGTCCTTGGATGGGAGACCGCCAAGGAATCCCAGGTGCTGGAGGAAGGAAGGAAACGGCAAAACCAGCTCATAGTCTTACCTAAGAAAACCCTACAAAATCCATGTTTTTGCTACACATCAATGGGTGACTTGAAGGCACGTACCTCAATTGGGAACATTTGGGCCGCCGTGCTAATCCAATTCAATCACACTTAAAAGTGAACAATTGCCCAGAAAGGCCAACATAATCATATTTGGTTTCGGAAGGGCAAGAGAAATCTCATAATAATGATAATAGTTAGCTAATGAGATAAAGACAAGTCAGAAGGTATGCTTGAGATGGCCAGATTACGTTGAGGATCTTGAAGGTTATTGAATGTCAGAGTCAAAGAAGGGCATCGGAAAGAACCAAAATAACCCTTGAAGGAGGTGAGCAAAGTCAAGGGAGCAAAAGGCTCTCTTTTAGAAAGAGAGAGGAAAGAAATCACAAGAAGAGCAAAAGAAACGTCAATGGAAAATAAGTCAAGGTGGAACAATAAAAAAGTGGGCCAAATATGAAAGCCAGGGTGCACTTACACTGTAGAATGAATGCAGTTCGATACCACTTTAAATGCTATGACTCAATACTATGGGATCCTGGGAGTTGTAGTTTTACAAAGCGTTGAGCTTTCTCTGCCAAAGAGAGCTGGCGCATGGCCAGACTACAGCTCCCAAGATTTCATAGTATTGAGCCAATGAGAAGGAATGGAGGGAGGGAAGCCCTGCGTCAATGGGAGCTGATGAGATATGAAGTTCTCGAGCTTATTAGCAAATTAAAAGCGAAGAAGTGAACAAGTTCAGATGGCACCTCTCCAAGGGTTCTTAACTCAAATGCGTAATTGCTAATCTCCCAACACAAATAGGCAGCCGATCGCAACCGCCGGCCTCCTTGTCAGCAGACGGGAGGAAAAATCTTATATACATAGAACACAGGTTGTTGGGTTTTTAACAAGAAGGAGCCTGCAAAGGACAAAGCCATTTGCAACAAGAAGCATTTATGAGGCAAAGGGAAGGCTGGGCTTGCTAAACAGATAAAAGGAGGAGGAGTCAGTGTTTGGTTATTGTAGGAATATAATAATAATTTATACTTGGTTACTTCTTTCTTGGCTCTCCAGTGTCTGCATTAAAATCTGCTCCTAGGAAGAATGTCAAATCCTATTTTAGAGTGCATCTGCACTGTGGAATGAATCTAGTTTGTCCCCACTTTAATTGCCATGGGTTAGTGCTATAGAATCCTGGAAGTTACAGTTTGGTGAGATACTTACTTAGGCGATCCCTCGTTGGACGAGGCATTTCCTTGTGGGTTCGTAGGTGGCTGTGGAGCCCTATTCTTGACCCACATTTTCTCCCACAGTGAGGGCATTGGTTTCCAGGTGGAAGGTGGTCCTGGTCGGGGTTGGCTTGATGCGCCTTCCTCTTGGCACATTTCTCTCTTTCACCCTCCACTCGTGCCTCCTCGAATTCTGCAGCACTGCTGGTCACAGCTGACCTCCAGCTGGAGCGCTCAAGGGCCAGGGCTTCCCAGTTCTCAGTGTCTATGCCAGAGATTTTAAGGTTGGCTTTGAGGCCATCTCTAAATCTCTTTTCCTGTCCACCAACGTTCCGTTTTCCATTCTTAAGTTCAGAGTACAGCAACTGCTTTGGGAGACGGTGGTCAGGCATCCGGACAGTGTGGCCGGCCCAGTGGAGTTGATGGCAGAGGACCATCGCTACAATGCTGATCGTCTTTGCTTCTTCCAGCACGCTGACGTTTGTCCGCTTGTCTTCCCAAGAGATTTGCAGGATTTTCCGGAGGCAGCGCTGATGGAATCGTTCCAGGAGTTGCATGTGACGTCTGTAGACAGTCCACGTTTCGCAGGCATATAGCAGGGTTGGGAGGACAATAGCTTTATAGACAAGCACCTTGGTATCCCTAAGGATGTCCCGGTCCTCAAACACTCTCTGCTTCATTCGGGAAAATGCTGCACTCGCAGAGCTCAGGCGGTGTTGTATTTCGGTGTCGATGTTGACTTTGGTGGAGAGGTGGCTGCCAAGGTAGCGGAAATGGTCAACATTTTCTAATGTTACACCATTAAGCTGTATCTCTGGCATTGGGGAGTGGATGGCTGGTGACTGCTGGAACAGCACTTTGGTTTTCTTGATGTTCAGTGACAGGTCAAGCTTCGTGCATGCTTCTGCAAAGGTGTTTAGAGTGGCTTGTAGATCTTCTTCTGAATGCGCGGTGAGATATTGGGTGCACCCATACCATAGAATTAATGCAGTTGATACCACTTTAACTGTCATGGCTCAGTGCTATGAAATCATGCCGTGTTTAGTGAGGTAGGAGCCCCAGTGGTGCAGTGGGTTAAACCGCTGAGCTGTTGAACTTGTTGACCGAAAGGTTGGCAGTTTGAATCTGGAGAGCAGGGTGAGTTCCTGCTGTTAGCCCCAGCTTCTGCCAACCTAGCAGTTCAAAAACATGCAAATGTGAGTAGATCAATAGGTACCATTCTGGTGGGAAGGTAACGACGCTCCACGCAGTCATGCTAGCCACATGATGTTGGAGGTGTCTATGGACAACACTGGCTCTTTGGCTTAGAAATCAAGATGAGTACCACCCCCAAAGTTGGACATGACTAGGTCAAGGAGAAACCTTTACCTTAGTGAGACAGCAGCACTGTTTAGCAGAGAAGGCTAAAAACCTTGTGAATCCACAACTCCTACGGTTTCAGCCATAGTAGTTGAAGTGGTGTCAAAGTAGCATTAATTTGCCAGGGTAGATGCACCTTAAGCCATCAAAATGTCACTGTTGCAAAAAGGTTTCAACACTTTAATTCTGGTTTTCTTCCCTTCCACCCCAAACAATGCAAGATGTCAACTGGAGACACACACCCCTTCCATACTGCCCTATATCCCAGGATCCGATCCCAGATTACACTATGTAACACAACTTTTGTTCCTGGGTTATAAATGTCATTTCCTAATTGGTTCTATCATAAAAACATGGAAAACATTTCTTAAACTGCAAAAACTTTGTCTTTGTGGGAGCGACATCCTGCTATAGCATATTTGCAATAGTTTTTCAATGAATATCTCATAGAATCTCAACCAATCAACCTTCTTTGTAACAACCCCAAAGATGAAGTTTCTGGATTATAGCAACTACTTTCAGAGCACACAATTAAACAGGAAAGAACACTTTCAAACCATGAACAGAAAAGAATTCAAATTGTATTACATATTGTTATTTGCTTATCCCAGATTATCTGACAGTCTAGACTCATATAGCCCAATTTGAAGCAGATAATCTGGGGTCGGATCCTGGGATACAGGGCAGTGTAGACCCAACCATAACCATTGCAGACATAACGATCTTGTATGTGGGAACAGGAAATGAATGCAACAAGTTGCATCTCCCCACTGTGCATCCCCTTTTGCAACCTGGGTGCTTGTATTCCTCCCTTTCCCTGTTCTCCTGATGGCACTAGACTTGGTATTTGGTGCCCAGGAATTGTTCATTGTCTTAGGAAACCTTGACCCATTGAGTACTGACTGTTGTCCCCTTTTTGTCTTGCAGGAGGCATCTTTGAATATGCAGAGGGACCAAATGCCCAGATCATGAATGCGGAGGAGCAAGCCTTCCGCTTCTCTGCCAACATCATCAACAGGAACAGGACCCTGCTCCCCAACACCACCCTCACCTATGACATCCAGAGGATACACTACCACGACAGCTTCGAAGCCACCAAGAAAGGTGAGCCGAGAGGAGACGCGTGGATCATACAGCAATAATTGCACCAGCATAAAGCCACAGATTAAGGCAGTTTCTCAACCTGGGGGTTGGGACCCCTGGGGGGAATTGCGCAGGGGGTGTCAGAGGGGTCACCAAAGACCACAAGAAAACACAGTATTTTTTGTTGGTCATGGGGGATCTGTGTGTGGGAAGTTTGGCCCAATTCTATAGTTGGTGGGATTCAGAATGCTCTTTGTAGGTGAACTATAAACCCCAGCAACTACAACTGCCAAATGTCAAGGTCTATTTTCCCCAAACTCCACGAGTGTTCACATTTGGGCATATTGAGTAATCATGCCAAGTTTGGTCCAGATCCATCCTTGTTGGAGTCCACAGTCTGGCCCAATTCTGTCATTGGTGAGGTTCAGAATGTTCTTTGATTGTAGGTCAACTATAAAAACCAGCAACTACAACTCCCAAATGTCAAGGTCTATTTTCCCAAACTCCACCAGTGTTCATAGTTGAGTATTCGTGCCAAGTTTGGTCCAGATACATTATTGCTTGAGTCCACAGTGCCCTCTGGCTGTAGGTGAACTACAACTCCAAAATTCAAGGTCAATGCCCGCCAAACCCTTCCAGTATTTTCTGTTGGTCATGGGAGTTCTGTGTGCCAAGTTTGGTTCAATTCCATCATTGGTGGAGTTCAGAATGCTCTTTGATTGTAGGTGAATTATAAATAGCAATAGTATTACAATTTGGGCATATTGGGTATTTGTGCCCAGTTTGGTCCAAGGAATGAAAATACATCCTGCATATCAGATATATTTACATTACAATTCATAACAGTAGCAAAATTAGAGTTATGAAGTAGCAACAACAATAATTCTATGGTTGGGGGTCACCACAACACGAGGAACTTGTATTCAGGGGTCGTGGCATTAGGAAAGTTGAGAAACACTGCATTAAGGGATGGCATTGAGTCAAACTTTGACACCAATGGCTGTTTCCTTCCCTTTGCAGAAAAATGGGATCAATTAGATCAGGATTGGGCAATGGCATGCAGAGCAGGGGCCAGTTTTGGCCTGCCTCTCCAAAGCAAGCATAAATGCCCCAATTCTCTGCAGTCCCTCTCAAAAGGGCATCACTACATTGCATCAACATTTTGAGAGGAGAATGAAGGTATTTGGGGGTAGTGAACAATTTTGGAGTATTTACAGGAATATTTATGTGTGTTTTCACATATTTGGGGCCAAAAGGTTTTGGAATCTTGTGGTAATTTTGGGGTAACCTAGTGGACATGGTTTTGTTTTTGTTTTTTTGGTCGTGTCAGAAGTTGCTTCTGGTGTGAGAGAATTGGCCGTCTGCAAGGACGTTGCCCAGGGGACGCCCGGATGATTTTGAAGTTTTTATCATCCTTGTGGGAGGCTTCTCTCATGTCCTCACATGAGGAGCTGGAGCTGATAGAGGGAGCTCATCCGTCTCTCCCCGGATTCGAACCTGCGACCTGTCGGTCTTCAATCCTGCCGTCACAGGGGTTTAACCCACTACACCACCGGGGGCTCCTAGTGGACATGGTGCAGGGCCCCTATCGGCTGCCCCTGACAAATTGGGCTGAATCCAAGGCCAAAAAAGGCAGACTGACCATAGGGAAGCGAGGGCCTGTCTTTGCCCTTTTGCCCCGCACCGGCCTGTCCTCTTGCCTGCAAATCCTTCCTAAATTAGCCCAGTTCTTCCTAGCTAAGTTTTCAAAGCCTTTTCTCAAATTCCATTTGGAGAGGATGCTAATAGATTGTGACAAGTAAATAAGGTCAGGTTTAAATCGCACACACATTCGCACACACAGAGCCTCTCTCTTGTGTTTAATTAATGTTCTGCTACTCAAGGCTTGGGCATCACTCAAGGAAAGCTGATAGAAACTGACCCCCTTCCCAGGAAATGCAGCCCTCTCCCAGTTTATATGCAGGCAAGCATGTATGTATGTATGTATGTATGTATATATGTGTGTGTATACACACACACACACACACACACACAAACAAACAAAGAGACATCTGAGCAGATGGGGAAAGAGTTTGCAATCACTTAAAGGAATTGTCCATATGGCTCCCTGGGACAGTTGTAGAGAGTTACAGGGGGATGTTTTCAAAGAAACGCAGGAAGAAGGGATGAGTCATACACTGTAGAATTAATGCAGTTTAACCCCACTTTAACAGCCATGGCTCAATACGATGTAATCCTGGGAGTTGTAGTTTGGTGGGGCCATGGCAAGGTGAAAAGACTTTGCAAAACGATGACTCTGATAACTTTGTAACACGTAGCCACAACAATAAAAGTGGTACCCAACTGCGTTAACATAACAATATAGATATGTCCTTCCTTGCAAAGGGGTTAAAATTGCTCATTGCGTCTGTTGTGAAGGTTTACAAAGAATTGCCTCCCTAGTTGTCACATCTCCAAAGGCAATAGATTGCCCTCTTTTTGGAAGGAATTTTAAACTTGCATCTGTGTATTTGTATTTTGTAGAAATGCATTTTTATATGTATATTTTTTAGATCAGTGGTTCTCAACCTTTGGGTCTACAGAAGTTTTGGCCTTCAACTCCCAGAAATGCTAACAGCTTCTAAACTGGCTGAGATTTATGGGAGTTGTAGGCCAAAACACCTGGGGACCCACAGGTCGAGAACAACTGCTTTAGATGATTATGTGTTTTTAGTGATGTTGTAACCCACCTCAAGCCTCAAAGAGGTGGGTAGAAAATAAAATAATTTATAATTATTACAAAACTATGTAACAAAATTTGAAAAACATTCTGTTCCTGGTTTGAAAGTTTTATTTCCTGTTTAATTGTTGGGTACTTACTTTGAAATTAGTTGTTCTACTCCAGAAACTTCATTTTTGTGGCTGCCACAACTAGGTTGAATAGGTTGAGACTCAATGATGAGATATTCATTGAAAAATTAGAGCAAAATGTGCTGCAGGATGTTCCTCACACAAAAGCAAAGGTTTTTTTTTTTTTTTTTTTGCAGTTTTTGCAATTAGGAAATGACATTTATAACCCAGGGACAACAATCATGTTACATAGTGTTATTTATTTATTATTATCCTTGGCTACCAGAACAAAAGAGCTAACATGCTCTGCTCTCCTTTGCAGCCTGCGACCAGCTTGCCCTTGGGGTGGTCGCCATTTTTGGCCCTTCACAGGGCTCCTGCACCAACGCCGTGCAGTCCATCTGCAATGCCCTGGAGGTGCCCCACATCCAACTCCGGTGGAAGCACCACCCCTTGGACAATAAGGACACCTTCTATGTCAATCTTTACCCAGATTATGCCTCCCTCAGCCACGCTATCCTGGACCTGGTCCAGTACTTGAAGTGGAGGTCGGCCACTGTGGTCTACGACGACAGCACAGGTAAGCAGCGGGAGGGCCTCCGTCTATTATTATTGTTGTTTTTGTTATTGTATTTACTCAAGTCTAACACTCACTTTTTTTGGCTAAAGTATTTTGCCAAAATGAGGATGCACATTAGATTCATGTTATACAGTTATCTTAGTGCTGAGCCAAAGCAAAAGGAGAAGGTGCTTCAGGAACTGCATCTGGAGTTCCTCTTTGAGGGTCCTCATCTCTCATTTAATGCTGTATGGTTCTGGGATTTATAGTTTGTTGAGGCATCTGCATTCTTTGGTAGAGAAGACTCAAGATCATGTAAAACGACAGCCCCCATGATTCCGTAGCATTGAACCAAGGCAGTTAAAGTGGATTCATCCAACGGCATAGATGCACCCAAGGTTTTCTTTTCCATTGCTGAAAAAAAATCATGTTTAAAACATTTTTGGTCTTTAAAGAAGGAATTCTAAGAGTGCAACAATGGTAGTGGTCAAATTGCACTTTTTTGCCACTGCGCATCACATTTGGCAGCAAATTCTTGTTTTGGTTTCAGGGTTTTGAAAATTGGGGTGCGCATTAGATTCGATGGCACATTAGCCTAGAGTAAATACAGGGTATTCTTCTTCTTCTTCTTCTCATTATTATTATTTACTTTATTTATACCCTGCCTTTTCATTGAAATCTCCTTTATTGAAGGGACCCAGCTAGTGACCTCCATAAAGGAGAGTGGCATGCGTAAGGGCACATCAAAACAAGGAAGTGGAAACTGGGGTCACCATATTGGCCATGCACCAAAATACAACCTTTACTGAGCCAAGCGGAATGCACATAATGCATCATGCAAGTTTTTTAAGCTTCACTAGTTCCTTCTCAGGCAGTGATATCGACAGTACCTTGCTGCTGTTAATAGATGTGAAATTGCATTGCTTGTGTTTTACTGGTTTCCAAATGGCTAAGGAAAGAAATAGTCCATTGAGATCCTTTCAGATGAACGTAAGAACCCCCGGTGGCGCAGTGGGTTAAACCCCTGTGCCGGCAGGACTGAAGACCGACAGGTCGCAGGTTCGAATCCGGGGAGAGGCGGATGAGCTCCCTCTATCAGCTCCAGCTCCTCATGCAGGGACGTGAGAGAAGCCTCCCACAAGGATGATAAAAACATCAAAAATCATCCAGGCATCCCCTGGCCAACGTCCTTCCAGACGGCCAATTCTCTCACACCAGAAGCGACTTGCAGTTTCTCAAGTCGCTCCTGACACGACCAAAAAAAAAAAAAAAAGATGAATGTAACTATATTGCATTGACTCTTAACTGACAACAGAAGTCACATCGGAGATCAAATTTATTTATTTATTTATTTATTTATTTATTTACTTACTTACTATATTTACATACCACCCGTCTCAGCCCGCAGGTGACTCAGGGCAGTTTACAGTCAGCATCAAAACCATAAAATACAATCCAAAAACGTAAAATACAAATATAGACCTAGGACCCTAACTTTGACAGATTTCTTCTCCTTTGTGATTTTTAAAATATTTGCCTGTTTAAGAAGCCAGCAGAGCTTACAACACTTGTATGTTGTATTTGTGAATTTTAGCAGAAATTTATATAGAATCTGTTGAGAGCCTGCTGCTGTGGTCTGGAGCGCCTTTGTTTATCTCAGCTGTTCTGCATAAAGGCAGGGAAATTGGTTGCAATAGCCTATGCCTTAATTACCTCTCATTGCACTATTCAAGCTGTCTTTGAAAATGCTCTTTTCTGTACATACACAAATAAATGCGGGCATTTTCCCAAATGGGACAAGTCTTGAGTGGTGGGTACTTTTCCAAGGTTGCAGTTTCTGATTGATTTCTTGTAACGGGGAGAAATAAAATGTAAACTTGTTGGTCCTAGCTTGCAATGCCGAAATTTATAAGGATGTACAACCTAGTAGGGATTGGCTTGGAGCCCGTGGCCTAGACCAGTGGATCTTAACTTGTGGGCTGAGGACCAGCAGTGGGCTGCGAGGTTGAAAATCTGGTCCGAGAGCCTCCTTCCTCTTTTTTTAAATTTTTTAATTTATTTTATTTCCACTCCTTTCACACCGCCTGCCGCTCCTTTCCTTTTTTGTTTTGTTTTGGAGGTCATGGCCTTCTAATGCTAGATCTTCGACTCTGTTGAGATTTGTCCATTCCCTTGTCCACATCAGTCCACATGCATCGTGGTAAAGTTGGAGGTCCGGTAGTCCCAGCCCACCTCTGTTCTTGTCATCCATTAGATTAGCCATTTTTATTCTGGGTTTCTTCCCCGCCCAGATAAATTTTGTTATTTCCCTGTTCCATTTTTAATTGTTTGTGGGGTCCTTATAATTGGTATTACTTGGAATAAAAGTAATAGCTTTGGTAACACCATCATTTTTATTACTGAAATTCCGCCCAGCAGGGAGAGATTGAGAGATTTCCATTTTTCCATCTCCTTCCAGATCTCACACCATTTCTTTTCATAATTGTTTTTGAGAAGTTGTGCGTGTTTTACAGTTAGATTTATCCCTAGATATTTAATTTTTGGAACCACTTGGATGGACATTTTTTCTTCTAGACGCTTTTGTCTCTCTTTCGTGATGTTTTTCGTTAATATCATCTTTTTTTCTTGTTGAGTTTAAAACCTGCTAGGTTTCCAAATTCTTCGATTTTTTAAATCCAGTTTTCTATGCTTTCAAGTGGGTTTTCGATGATGCATACAATATCGTCGGTGAATGCGCGTAGTTTATATGAATGTTTTCTGATCTTGACCCTGTTGCTGACCATGGCATATGTTCTGTATCAGAAACTAGGGCTGATGTGGTCTATCCAATGCAATTTTCTGAATCAATGCCCCAAATAACCATACCAAATCTAAAGATGACCAAAAACTGATTCATAACCCTTTTGGTACTAATGTTGGAGAATGGTTCCTGGTCAAGTAGTTATGGGTCAAGTGGTCCCTGGTCAAAGTGGTCCTGGTCAAAAAAAGAATGAGAACCACCGGCCTATTATTTGTTATTTACAGTATTATATTCCACCCTTCTTACCCTGCAGGGGACTCAGGGCGGATTACATGGTACATATACATGGCAAACATTCAATGCCATAGACATACAACATATGTATTTATTTATTTATTTATTTATTTATTTATTTATTTATACACTTGTATACCGCTAATATCTCAGCCTAAGTCGGCGACTCATTGCGGTTTACAACAATTAAAACAATATACAGTTTAAAACAACAACACATAGACAATACAAATTATTGGGCCACCAATAATAATACCATGCATCTCGTCAATAA